ATTATTCAAATTTTAATCTTTATTTATTTTATTTCATGTGCAATATTTTTATTTTCATGAGCAACATTGCAAATTCCTGGTCAATATTTTATAATTTGGTGTAATATTCCTAAGCCGAATCGTTGCCAGTATTATTTCTTACTTTTCTATTCTAATCTTAGCAAGTATTACTTGTTCCAACGTCTCTACAACAGCTGACATGCTGCATCCAGGACAACTTTCTTTTGTCATCTGTGGCATTGTGTTATTTAAATAAAGCTGCATTTTAAGGTGGACTTTTACAGTGAGCCCTGTGATAGACTGGTGACCTGTCCAGGGTGTCCCCTGCCTTCGCCCTAAATCAGACTCCAGCCCCCCGCGACCCTGGTGAGGATTAAGCGGTGTATAGATACCGGATGGATGGATGGATGGATGGATGGATGTACTTTTACAGTGTCTGGTCAAACAAGCATAGCTTCTATCTGATTATTGTTCATACCTGACCAGGTTGTGGAGTTGAACAGCTCAAAAACCTTTTGTGCATAATTGCTTAAATCGAACCCTTTTCGAATCATAGCAACAGAAATGAGATTTTAACTTTTTCTGTAAGTCTGAAAAGAAGACTGTTGGGTTTCTATTATTGGTGTTAATTTTGTTCCCTTAAATATTAAACTGAATGTTGTGCAAACTTTTTTAAAGTATATCATAGAAACTGATAGCAAACTACAACGGAAAGTGTGCTTATCTTGTTCAATAAATCAATCCATTAAAAAAAAGTGTCAAAAAGTCAAAACAGAGTACGTCACACAAGTAGTATTTATTTGGTATGAATTGTCCGGTTATTTATTCCTGTGTACGTTTGGAAGCAAAGACTGTTTACATTACATCAACACTGAATCTGTTACTGAAGTTCAAATATATATAAGAGCCATTAAAAACAGGTTTTCTGTAAATTTACGTTATCAAAAACAATCAAGTAGGTCAGACAAGTCATAGGAGAAATCACACCAAATTCATTTACATAAAGAAAAAAAAAACATTCACATTAATAAATTAATCTGGATAAAGTTAAAAAACATGAAGCGAGGACACAGAAGCACATGAGCAGAGAGTACACGGTCTCTAATGTAGGTATGAATGAGGCTCGAACAAAGCAGAGCGGGACACGTCACCAGATTTACTCAACACAGATAAGCATAAGTACAAACTGCCTCATTTACTTTCCAGTAAAACCCGCAACATTCTCATCACGTTTACTGCAACTTTAAGCTCACAGCCGTGCAAAACAATACACTCCACATTCAAGGACTAAATGCTTCTTTTACTTAAACAAAGGAGCAAACTTGTTCGTAATGCACCCTTTCTGGATAACGGATCACAATGAGAAGTATGAGTTAAAGCGCTGCCCGTGAGGAAATCTGTCACAACACTGATACGACTGACTCAAATACATCAGTTTAAAGAGAGTTCAAGTTTTTAAAACACACCGGACTGCTGTCGCTCCATTGAAACAAGCTCCACTGAGGGATGAAGCTCTAAAAAAAAAAGAAAAAGTGCAGTGTAATGTTGCTAAATGCTCAAATTTAAATCTCCAACGAACTGAACGCCGGAGAAGCTCACTTCTGAGTTTGATGCAATCGAGAAAAGCATCATTTGTCCTCATTTAATTCATTTATCCAGAGCTGTTTTGTCCCCTAATCTCTAAGCCTAGTAATCAAAGCTCTCTATCTAAGATTCAAAGCTCTTTATCTCATAGAAAAAAGTAGCCAACGCTTTCTGATGGATTGAAAACAATCACACGACTGTTTCTCCTACAATGAGCTCATTAGTGTGTTGAAATGATGGCTGACTGTTGCCCTGTTCCCATATTCCTTCTTTCTACCACGAGAAAAATGCTGTTGGAAGTTCCCTTACACCAGAGGAGTGCCACAATTTTTAAAAAAAAGAAAAAAAAAAGCAAGATTTCAGAGATTAATTGCAGAATCAAGTCAGAAAACACATTAATGAATGAGTCTCAAAGCACGCATTGTTCAAGAGCTCCTGAAGCTCCTAAAACAGTCGGTCTGAAAAAAGGTTTACCTTGTTTACATGTACATATGTTTTTTTTTGTAATATGCATCATAAAGGAAATAAGCAGTCAAGATCACAGCTGAAACTGCAGTGTACTGATGATGAACGATGACTTCTAGAGCTTCACATGTAAGCAATCTAAGAAAGCAATCGTATACTGGTTCTTGTTCAGAATCAGGTTTCAGTTTCAAACATGTATGGCTAAATTACTCCAATATTTGTCATTGTGTAGGGTAGAGTAGTTTGAGCAGGTGAGCTAGTGTGCTCAAGCTGCAGCGAATGATGGAGGAGACTTTATAGATGGTTCTCGAGGAAGCAGAAGTGTGGAGTTACATCTGGGCCACTTTAGGACAGAAAGGGCTTATTTTCATGTGCAATAAACTTCTAAATGTGTAACTTTGATACACAGAGGTGAGTTCTTAGGGGATAAATTAAAGACCAGAGAGGGACTTTAAAAGAAACCTCCACGATGGTTACTATTAGTGACACAACAGCCAAGTCCAGGGTTGCTTTTAACAATGTAAAATGACACTTTCTGTTGTTCTCTCCTCCACTGAACCAGAAGTTATTTCAACTCTGCAATAATAAAGCATTTTCCAATTAGTTTAGTACGTTTTCTATCCTGTACTGAAGACTTTTTTCGAGTCACCTGCCATTAAAATGCTGCACCTTCATGGGTGTTGGTTGGATCTGACTATTTTATGATACAGCTGTCAGGAGTTGCTGCCACCACTTAAGACTGATGCTGTGGAACGAAGGATTTCTCATTCTCAGCCTCCATCATCGCATCTTTCTCTTACGTCCTCGCAGGGAGAAGCAGAGACGCAAGAAAAGACACTTGAGCATTGCAACCAGTCAGCGGGAGTAGTGATATGCTGTATGAGGGGAGAAGGAAACCACCAGCTTGTCAGTTCTAATCACAGCTTTCCGATTAATCAGTTGTCAATCATAACGCTTTAAGAGCCTTAATATATGTCTCTAACTTGCTTCCATTTCAGTTAATTCAAGATGAATTCTGTTTAATTTCACTGGATAACCTGAAAACACTCTGATCCCAACCCTGCCAGACGCTCCCCAAGAGCCGTCGAACGGGATAAGAAGATAATCATAGTGTTGTTTACCAGCTAAGCTCCTCCAGCAGAGTTTTGTCAGCATTATTTGGGTTTACAGCAGATTCAGACGCCCACTATGGAGTCTAGCTGTCTGCATTAGCTGAGAATGCGACACTCTGGCTCCATGTATGCATCATCTCTGGAGGTTGTCGGGCCACAGAGTGACTAAGAGCTGGGCGACAATTCAAATGATCAGCTGAGAATATCAACAGACTGTGTTATTTTCTTGCAAAGTCCCACTATGGAAAGGATACTATGGAGATTTCTCTTTGGACAAATGAAAAGCTTAATTCATAAATGATGTAATGCACAGGCCAATACACTCAGGGAGTTTTGTAGTTACAGAATAGTTAACTGGTCCGCCTCATATTTTCATAGATTCCATGCAATCAGAGTTTTTTTTACAGAGCAACTTAACAGCAGCTGAAGACTTTGCTTTTGCTGACATCATTGGTTATGGAGGCGCCACACTTGAGCAGTTAAATCATTTCAAGTGTTTTCCAGGCTTTTTTGGGTCGACTACCCAAAACTTTAAGCATGATTGGTCTGCATAGCAACGTCAATGAGTCTGTGCTACCTCATCTGGCAGAAATCTATGCATTTCCCTGACCGTTTCATAAAGAGAAATGTCTATTATGTTTTACTAAATTAAAAATTAACAAAACTGGTTAAAAAAAATTACTTGCTATTTTTTTTCCCCTCAATTTATCATTTTGGCGGCAGTGCTTTTGTTTTGAGTTTGGCTAAAACCTCTTTGGGAAGCTCCAAAATTCTTCAGTGCAGGAGAAACCCTGGATTAGATGAGATGTGAAGCTCTGCCTTTCAGCCTGGTGTCAGGTTACTCTTTAATGTTTTGTTTTTTTGACATTTTTTTTTTAATGACTGGAAGATTTTCTTGCATTGGACACAGTTTTGTAATTTCAAATGATTGAGGATACAATTGCTGATACAGATAAACGTCAGATGTCAGTTTCAGAAATATCGCCCAGCGCTTGAATGGACTCCAGTGTCACTCCAGTCAAGTGTCATAAGTAAAATGGAACTTGCGGCTGTTTGGCGTGATGTCAGACTGGTGGTGAAAATGTTGCGTAAGTGTAAAATGTACCATTTTCTGCACCTTGCCTGACGAATAAATAACCCTCAGCACAATAAATGACAATACATTCTTTGCACACGCAAAACACAAACTGTCCTTCTGTTTCCGCTCAGAGTTAAATAACCTGGAGGTCTGTAACAAACACTGTTCATGTGTAGCTTTAGTGGAATCCTGAAGAGCTGAAACGACGAGCTTTCGTCCGGGCGGCGTCCAACCCTGATCGTAAGGCAGCAGGGATCCGGTTCCAGACGACAAACAGGCACCAGAGGGCGCAAATGAGCATGCCTTGTTTCTATGGGAGACAGAAGGAGGCTGGAGGTGGGGGGACATCGAGGAGGTGGGGGGGCGGGGGTCACTGAGGTTCGCCCCGTCCATCAGGGAGTCTCTGAGCCGAACAGCAACAGGATCTCGTGTGAGAGGATGAAGGTGAAGAAGTAGACGCAGAGGTCAGCGAAGACGTCGCCCATCCTCCTGTAGGTGTCCATGGAGCGGTTGATGACCTCGGCGGGGATCCCAGACAGCAGCAGGGCAGCTGTGAGCACAGTGGTCTTGGTCTTCTTCTCTACCTGGAGTATAAAGGGCAACAAACATGCAGCCAATGATTGATTTGTATGATTTTTATACAGTTGAAACCAGAAGTGTACATACACACATAAAAAGACAGACAACTTTTTTCCTCACTGTCTGACATTAAATTTTATTAAACTTTTCCTGTTTTAGGTCAGTTAGGATTACCAAAATTATTTATATTTGCTAAATGTCAGAAAAATGAGAGAGAATTATTTTAGAGATTTTTTTTTTTACTACTTTCTTTAAAGTCAGAAGTTTACATACACTCAGATTACTATGCCTTCAAACTATTTGGGAAAGCCCAGATGATGATGTCATGGCTTTCAAAGCTTTTGATAGGTTAACTGACAACATTTTAGTTCATTAGAGGCACACCTGTGAATGTATTTTAAGGCACACCTCAAACACACTGCTTCCTTTTGTGACAACATGGGAAAATTTAAAGAAATCCGCCAAGATATCAGGAAGAGAATTGTGGACCTCCACAAGTCTGGTTCATCCTTGGGTACAAGTATAAACACTATGGGAATGTCCAGCCATCATACTGTTCAGGAAGGAGACGGGTTCTGTGTCCCAGAGATGAAGTGTTTTGGTGCGAAATGTCTGTATCAACCCCAGAACAACAGCAAAAGACCTTGTGAAGAGGCTGGCTGAAGCTAATCAGAGAATGTCATTATCCACAGTGAAGTGAAAAGGTTACGCGTCAACTTCTGGTTTCAATAGTGAACAGGAATGTAAATGGAGCATGCCATGTTTGATTAAATTCTAGTCATTCTTTTTAGAATAGAGGAATAAATGCTCGTTGACATTTCTACAACAGAATGGACATCATGAAACAACCAAGTACTTTGCAAATTGGAAATGAAAATAGGCAGACCGAGTGTGGGGTCATGCACCAAAAGTCACAATTAAGTAACAAGTCATGCATCTGAAACACTCAGAGTTAATGAGGCTGTTGACGCTGCTTCTGGAATACTGTTTGACCTCATGACGCTGGTGGACATTTTAGGTGACAGAATTGCGCTGTTGGACGTCCAGAGAATCTGAAACAATTTCTTAGATGACAAATGGTGGAGTTCTGGACATTCTGGCTGCAATTTTAACTGACATGTCCGGATCCAGTAGTGGCTGGTCAAAGTCCTTTAAAGCCACACTTGTCGAGGCTGCGGATTAACTCTATTGTTGAGAATTTGTCCTCAATTCAAAAACGTTTTGTACGCAACTGGCAAAATTTAACCCTTTTCGGGCAATAATAATAGAAATGAGATTTAAAACTTGTTCTCTAACTCTCAAAAGATATAAATTCCATCCTATTTTATATTACTTATATTTTTGCTGGTTCAAATATCACATGTTTTACCCTGCAACATACACGAGGAGAAATAATAGGAGATGAGAACAAGAACGATAGCCGAGAAAAGAGACAAAACAGGCAAAAGCAGCAAAGTTTCACTTGTAAAAAGCCCAGCCAGCAAATAAAACCCACTTGGATTTGAAAAATGACTTAATGAAGTAGTTCCGGCTTAATTTAGCTTGTGGCTCTGTGGGTCATGCTACCTGGGATAGCTATTTTGTTAACTGTATGGGAGCTCTCCATCCAGGCCACTTATCCCATGACCCAGTTAAATTCATTAAATCATAATCATCTGCGCACATCGTTGATATGTGTGTGTACTTTTGGGAAACTCTGGAAATAGCACGTTGGAGTTTAAGAACAGTTTCTTGGCCAGGCCAGAGACTTTCTGGTGTGTCCTGGTTTTCTGGGAACCTTGTGATGACAAAAGAGACACTGAGATGTCGCTGCCAGCTGCCTGGTTTATTTTTGAACTACATGCTAAGCTAAGCTGCAGCGTCCTGTTTAGTGCACAGACATGAGTTGTGTCAGTCTTCTGGTCTGCTAGCAGAAAAGGGTTCAACTTCTCCTTTAAACATAACGCAAATTAATATTTAGCTGCAGTATTTTCTTGTTGATCAATTCTAATTATTATTATTATGAGACCTTGGGTTACACAGTTGATCAAGGGAATATTTTAATTTATATCAAAATTACACAATAACTTTACATTTCTCAACATCTAAAATGCAGCTGTTTAAAAAAAATCAATCAATCAATCATTGCATCACCTTTATGAAAGGAATACTGAAATACTATGATTGTGCAACCAGATTACAGTGTTTTGTACGAACTCACCTTTGGAAAGTATTTGGACAGTCCCATGTAGGCCAGTTCAAGGGTCAGAAACGGAGCAAATATTGACTAGAATGAAAAAAGAGAGAGTGAGTTCATGTAGCATCAAAAAGAGAGCCAATATTCAGTTTCTAAACTTCATATAATGTCAAAACATCTGTACAAAAACACACTCATTGCCCAGTATCAACATTCACATTAGTTAACACGTAAAATAACCAATCTCACAGTTTAATCTACAGCACGTTGACTCACCAGATACTTGCAGACAAAAACCCTGACAAAAATAGCGAGGAGGATGCTGCCGATGAGCCTGAAGATCCTGAAGGGATCCAGCTCCTCTGAGTCGGACCCTCCGTCCTGAGCCGGCTTCTCATTGGCCAGCTGCCCGCGGAGCTTCATGGCATCATCAAAGCGAGACAAGTACTTCTGGAGGCCCCGACGCGGGGAGCCGCTGATGTCGTCCGACGCCCGCTCCCCTCTCGGCCGCTGTCGGATCCCTCCCAGGTCGTCCTCCAGAGACCCTCCGTGCGGCTCGCCACAGTCTGGCAGTGGAGAGCCCCTCCTCTCTGGGGTGGCACTGTGGGAGCGGCTGCCGAACCCCGAGGCCTCGGGCAGGAAGGGAGACGGTCTCGGGGAAGATGAGGACGAGGACCACGGCTCCGTCCTGTCCAGGTCAAGGTGGAAGCGGGGTTCTGTGGGACGCCGGGATGCTCCTGCTGAGGAGAGAATATCATCAGTGATATCATATTTAGCAAGCACTAGTTGATTAATTGTTATTTAACTTAAGTTACACCTCAAGTAAACACTGTAGTTCTTTTCTTTATTTAACCATGCTGCTATTAATGTACTTTGCACCTCTGAATCATTTTAGCACCTTATTTACAGTAGCTGTTGTCAATACAATATTTTATTTTATTCTTATCTCATCATGTTTCATTTCTTTATCCTATGTTAACCGCCACAAGCTGCTACTCCTATCGTACAGCTGTTGCTACCATTCTGTATCCAACTGCTCTACATGCCTTGAATTCCCCTTAGAGGACAAATAAAGCTGTTTTTAAAATATATATTATTATTGAATTGATTTAAATATGGCAAAACTGACAATAAAGCTGACTTGACTTGATAAATGATTGATAAACATCATGAAAACAAACCTGTGGAATACATTTGACAACTCCTACAGCATGTGTTTACTTCATTTTTGAAAGAATGCAAAGTGAACAATGCCTATTAGTCCAGGAAGTTGGTATGTGGACTTTACAACAGAAGCACAAAAATCAGATTCTGGTGCACTGCTTACCTCTGTAGCTATGTGACAAGTCAAGTGTTGTATATGTATCCACTGTGAAAAGTATTTTTAGAAGACACACTTTGGCTCTTTGCACGTTCTATCTGGTTAAGATTATATAACTGTGTATTTCCTTTGTTGTGTGTTGTACCCATCTCTCTACCCACAACTGAACCTGTACTGTCACTGGGGACGCCCTGATGCTGACCCTGAAGAGTCGGACCACATCTAGGCACTTTTTAACCGATCGGTATCAGCACAAACCAAAGCCACATCCTTTGTTTTCAGCTGCTGCCAAACACATTTTGTATATTTGAATATTTATGTTGGAAAAACCAGCATCATCAATCAATTTGTGAGTATTTTGCAAAACAAATTAAGCACATTGAGCATTTGGCTTGTGCTGACACTGTTGTTTTAAGCCACAGACATGAAGTACAGGTTGTAAAGACGGCTGTTGCACAAATCATTTGGATAAAAGAAGCTATCTGACCTGTTCCCAGTTGGATTTAACTAAACTGCACTGCCCTGAGGTCATTAGTCATCACAGAAGACTTTGTCATGGTGTCCCTTTATTAGCTAAATCCCCACAATGCTCACTACTTACCAACACAGAGCTGCCCGTCACTACAGTGTTAAACAATAACAGCAACCAGGTACCACAGCTTATGTACAATACTTTATCAACATATCAACCAAAACTTAATATTAAAAGACTTGAATTGGAACAGGGGTCAAAAAATAATAATAATAATAACAAAATTGATCAGGACATCCCTAACTGTCACTAATTAATACAACAGCAATATTCTGTGCATTTATGTCACAGAAATGCTCAACGCATCTTATCAAAAACATTTTTGATTGTCATCTGTCAATATTGTGTGTCTATAGTAAATATATATACATATTAAATTGTGATATTATACATACTGGCGACATACGTGTACATATGAATGATGTCCCCAAAGCCTTTGTAGCCCTTAAAATGACAAGTTGAATTTTTCCTGCCTGAAATAGATGAGAGGAATGAGGGTGATGTCAATTAACTGATCAATCTAATTAATATATTGGTCTATTTTTAGTCTGTACTCCCCTAAACATTCAAGACAGGAAGAAAGAATCAGCAAGTGCAGAGCCTTTAAATGTCAAATATATCAGTATCACTTTAACTCTGATATCTTGTCTGTCTGCAGCTACAGCATAGCAGCCAAACATCTGCCATTTATATTCTTGGAACGAGGGCTGCAACGATTGATTATTTCCATATCAATTAGATCTTTGTGAATCATTTGGTCCTAAAAAACTGTCCAGTCCAATTCAATTTACTCTCATTGACAGCAAAGAAACCAGTAAATATTCATATTTAATCATCATTTTTCATGCTTTTGTGTGAAAAATGATGACTGATTAGCAAAAAAGTTTCTTATTAATTTCCTGTGAAGCACCAAATAAATGAATGGACTAATTGTTTCAGCTCTAACTGCGTCAATATCAGGCTCAATATTAAGTATCCAGACACTTAATGATACATCTGAGGTGCAGGTTTTTCATCACTGTTATGATTGTTAAAGCTGAGGCTTGTTGGTATGAAAGGGCTGTCAAAAGAGTCATATTTGGGCTCATTTCTTAAATACTCAGGTAATCGTTGAATTTACAAAAGGCCAGAAAAGTGTCAAAAAATGCTCACCACAACTTCTCAGAGCCCAAAACAACATTTTCAAATTGTTAATCTGACCTAATCTGACCATGCAATCCAACAGAGATGAAACCATGGAAGACAGAGGAGCACAGGATGAGTCAGCTGATTATCATGGCTTGCATAAAATATTAGTGGGTGATGGCTCTGCTCTTCTTTTAACCATGAATGTTTGGGTGGGAAGATGACAAATGTAGTACTCTGGGTTTACACAAACCTGTCACTGATGTACACTGTTTTATAAAACCTTTTATGAGGGATTAGCATATGTTTTTTTTTGTGGATTTTTCTCATTTTTCTATGTATTTCATTGTATTTTATCCTCAAGTCTTTGCATTCTAAGTGCAAATTTGCCCTTGAGGACAACCTAGTAATTGTTTGAGTCCTATAAGGAGGCAAAAACAGTCTCCATCTTGAGTCAATACAGTTACACTGGGACCATGTGGTGACTTGTTTAAATCCCACACTGAGGAACAGTGCCACATCTCTGCTTCAGTTTTAAACCGAATATTAACATTGAAACGATAATGGACCATGCAGATGAAACAACAGCAGCAGGATGAAGCTGGCAATAATTACATTAGGTTTGGCAGTCCAAGACTGTAGCCTTGATTGTTACATGAATAGCTCCAGATCTCTTTTTTCTTTTCTATATCTGTTTTTATACATATATATGCAATAATAAGAAGACAACAAGTCGCAGGCAAGACTCGAGTAGGCAGAGGAAGCGTTATCTCCCATTGCTGCAGCTGCTGATGAGTCAGGATGTGAGAATGTCGCTGTCTCATCTAAAAGCTCAGGTTAGTGAACAAGAGGGCTCCTCAGCTGCCCAGCTAGTCTTGCTATATGCCAATCACACCCTTTTTGTATGACGCACCTGCTCTCGGGTGCCGTCTCACACTCTCATGCTGCTCGAACAAATCTAACAACAAATAAGAAAAAGCCTCAAAGGCCCTCATCTATGAAAAACACAGCTAAATATGTTAAACAGGCTTTTGTCTGCACACAGAACAAAGTGTGAACATCAGGTATTTTCCACATTTCAGCATTTGCTTCATTCACTTCAGTTCCACAATTTCACATCTATTGCAACAGATCAGATTAATGAGACACGCTAATAATAAATCAAGGCTTTGACAAAACATTAACAGCAGCTGAAGTCTATTTTGTTGCTTCCAGCTGTTTGTAGGAGTCTTTCCACTGAATTTATCAAACATCTGCAGCATCAGACAGCAGCAGGATCAATAACAGAACATAAATTGCTGTAGTTGGATAAGTTTCGGCTCAATGTGGACAGAGTTTTAAGGTAAATCTTTCTCCTTATTAGCACATGCAGCTCTTCTCCTGGAATATTTAAAGAGTCAGCCACCGAAATTACTATTAGGGCTGCACAATAAATCAATTAGTCGTCAACTATTAAATCAATCAGCAGCTATTTTGATAATCAATGAAGTCGCTTAAGTTATTTTTTTGGGCAAATAAAAGTGAAAATTCTCGGATTCCAGCATCTTAAATGTGAATGTATTCTGCTTTCTTTGCTCCTCTATAGCAATAAACAAAAACACTTTCTGATTGTGGAGAAAACAAGACATTTGAAGATGTCATCTTGGAATTTGGGAAACACTGACTGACATTTTTCACAGTTTACTGGCATTTTATCGAGCAAACAACGAATAGATTATTTGAGAATCCGATCTGACAGATTAATCAACAATGAAAACAGCGGTTTTTAAAAAGCCCTTATTACGATTTGGTAAACAAATAAATGTGTATACATATAAATAACCTATGAAATACACCAATTTTCATTCAGGTGGCAGCTGAAAGTTGGTAATTTAAAATATTTATGAAAAGAATTTCACCTTTACATACGATTATGTCTGTAAATCATCAGAAATAAGACATTATTATAATATTATATTGTACTATAAGGCTCACAGTTTGGTCTAGCTTCTTTAAATCACTGCGATGTTGATTTGAAATATGGGCTGAATACAGAAATGAAATGGGATCATCTTAACAAACATTTTGTATTCGTTTTACTCTGAAAACACTTGAATATTGCGGATTATCAGGGTGAAATCTGAAGACTTGTGGGCTGAACCCCCACTGAGCCCAGACCCAGACAACGCCTCTGTTCACTGGAGCCTTGTTTTCAGTCTCCCCCAGCAGCTCTGCAGCGCAAACCGCACCGCACATCAGCGCATACCGTTATTTTCAGCCTCGTTTTTTGCGAATCCTACGATCCTGTTCATCCGGTCCTCTGAGTTCATGAGCAGCTTTCTCCTCCGGATCTCTGCTCTCCTCTGCGCCGCGGACACGGAGCTCGTCTTCTCGTCGCTGGCTTCGCCCGACTCCATGTTGAGAGACGAGAAAAATCAGCGCGAACCGCAAAGTATATTCACTGAACAAACAATCGGCGACTCAGCAGCGTCCTGTGCAAAACACAAACGCCTCAGACCCTTGAATTAGACGGTAAACATCATGGAATGGACCGAGCGTTGTCTGAGGAAAGGTCGCACACTGATGATGTCACTGTGAGGATGACGAAGGAGGTTTTTCAGGTTTTCAGCCCTCTGTGCTGCCTCACAGGACACAGAGCTGTGGGGTGAGGTTTATGTAAACCCTCAGCTGCGCCTTGCAGGAAACAGAGAGCTGACCTTTCTGATGACGCCAGGCTGTACTTCTAATTCAGTTCATGAAATAAAAAGTGTCAGTGCATGAACATTTAGAAAAAGGCTCGATTTGACATGTCTGTTTGCTGCATTTAAAAATAAAATCCAAACAACCAAGTCAGTTTCATTATATTTGATTTTCTTGCAACATTAAATTTTTATGTGCAAAATTTTTATCACAACGTATACGACTTTAATTTCATGCGCATTTTTTTCAGTTTGTACAATGAAATGTTTGTTTGCAATTTTAAATTTCATGTACAACATTTAATTTTAATGTGCAATATTCTAATATATGCACAGTGTTTAAACATCAAGAGCAACATTTAATTTTAATGTTCAACGTTCAATTTTAATCCACAAAATTTTAATTCAATGTGCAGTACTAAATTCCGGTGTAATTTTTTTAATGCTGAATATTTTAATTTCATGTGTAGTGTTTAAATAGCATGTCAAGTATTTTACTTTAATGGGAAATATTTAATTTTCATGTGCACTATTTCAATTTTGAGTGCAATTTTCCAGTGTCATCTCTAATATTTCAATTTAATATGTAATCTTTTATTTCTATGTATATTTTAAATTCATGTGCATTATTTCAGTTTCATGTGCAATATTTTATATCATGTGCAATTTGTACATTCTCATGTGAGATTATTTATGACTTCAGAATCATTATTGCCAGTTTTACTTCTTACTTTTCTGTTATTTTCATTTTCAGTAATGCACCGTGTGCTTAGATCTTATTGCTTTCCTATTAGATGCTGCAGTTAATCTCATATCATGTTTTTTCTTTTCTTTTCTGAGCTATATCTGGCACGAGAATTTCCCGCAGGAATAATAAAGTTCTATCTTATCTTCATGCATCAACTAACAATTTCCCATTAATATTTTGAATTATCAACTGACTGTTTTCCCAATTACTAGTTTTTTAGTTGAAGCTCATCCATTGTTTGGTGTTTTATTTGATTGTCCTGTTTTTGAATTGTATTCCTCTTTTATTTGACTGTGCATGCTACTCTGTGTATTTACTGTTTGTTGTAAAGTACTTTTTTCTGGTTTTGTTAAGTGCTATACAAATAAACTTCAGTACTACAGGTTTGTTGGAATGCATTTCTAAAGAGGAGGGAGGAATGCAGACTTTCTCAGCTTTCACTTGAAAGAAGCATCTCTTTGCAGCCCAGGTGAATAAATGCACAGACTTCTGTTTCAGGGTATTGATATGAGCTGCCAGTGTTGTATGAAGACAAAGTGAAATAATGTGCTGCCATCCTTTGGTTATTTCATCACAGCCACCGCTAATTCTCAGAAAAAATGAAAAGGCTTTAAAAATATTACTTTAATTTAAAAGTTAAGTAACTCAGTGTGCTCTGGTCTGTATGTTTTCAGCTTTTTAACTGAAGTAACAGTGAGCACACTGGCCAGCTGGAAAATAAAGACTTGATTCTTTGCACAACTTTTTGTAACATTTTCCTTTTTAACCTCGAGTTGGAGGTCTAGATATTTTCATAACTGCAAGTCAAGAGATTGAATGGAAGCCACAGAGTTCAGTTAATTTGTGGACAGGTGCAGCCACAAGTCATTGGGGTTCGAGTCAAAGTCTTCATGTACTTTGTTGAGTCTAAAGGTATCAGAATAAAGACTTGACTCAGCATCGAGTCCAGGTCACATGACTCGAGTCCACAGCTCTGCAATTTAGTCTGTACAAAAACAAGGCTATTTTTGTTTTCATCATTTTTTTTTATGAAAGACAATTTTGTGCATGAAGACTAAAACATATTTGTCTGTTCCTAAATACATCTTTTTTCTGATATAGTACATAGATTACAAACTGTATGAAATCAGACCAAATCAAAAACCTTGTTTCAAAGAGAAATCTCGATGACGTTGGTCCATATTCTGTTTCGTAGCCTTCACAGAATAAACACTGTTCATCCACCAAAACACAAACTACATTTAAAAAGTCCCAAACATTTTATTTTCTTAGCGTCATTTCACCTTATTGTTTATACTAAAATCATCAGCATTTCTTTACCTTTACACAATGCAGTCTTTTCAATATACAAGTATCAATAAGCATGAATAAAAGATCACAATGGCTTTGTTATGTCTGTGTTAAAGAATTTCCCATATCCTATTATATTAAAATATTTCATATATAGAGTCTGTATTTAAACAGAGGTTTAATAATAAAAAGTGAGTTCCCATACAAGGCAATTATAGAATTTAATCAGATTGGGAGTCTCATAAATTAAACAATCAGAAAAAAAGAAATAAACAAACAGAACAGCGGTCTCGTCAGAGGTGTTCTAAATATCCAGAGAGGGAAAAGATGACAAGAGTTTCTGAAGGACAGGTCAGACCTATGAAACAACTTTCCGCTGCCAAATCCACACATTCAAGGCAGCGAAGACAACGGGGCCGATCTGCCTTCAAACAAAGTTAAAATTTCGGCCTTTAACAACAGAGTCTACGGATTTGTTCAACACACAAATATAATGACGGTCAAATAAAAAGCACACGCTCTGTCCTTCAGGTACAATATTAAGAGTGTTGTTAGAGCTCAGGTGTATACAAATACTCCAAGGGACACCCAAAAACAGTCTTTGAGCGCTAGCCTTCCTCATAAACCTAGTTGTAAGCACACATACATACATACGTTGGACTTGTGTTAGTAAAGATGACTGTGCTTTCTGAATGAAAAACACTTCTGCTTTCCTGTACTGTATCTGAACGATACCTCAGTTAGACAGCATTGTTCTATGAGAATAAACACTGATTCGCTCAATCATTGACATAGTTAAATCATGATTTCTTGCTTCTTTTTTTCTATTTTTTTCCTCCTCCAGCACCTTTCAGCTGGGTAAAAAGTGCCTAATGATCGACTCTTCGCTCTGTCCATCGCATAATTTGATTCGGCCGATGCCTTGCGTCAGTTTCGGCTCAGGTTTTCCTCAGAGATACGGTGAACCACAGCTGCAGATGGAGCAAGAAGCATCCTTGAGTTTGCCTCTCGCCGGTTCCACACACACACACACATTCATACACGCACCCCCTATACATATATACGCACACACATACGCTGATGCGCATCCTTGCTTAAATGTTCCCTCGCCTCCACAGTCCCACTGGGCATTATTTGGAGATTTGCTGCTGGAGGTGGAGAAGGAACTCGTAGTACGACAGGGCCGACGCCGTTCGGTCCTCGATCATGTTCTGCATAAAGTTGGCTTTCAGCTGGCTCTCGTCCCTGAGTGATGTCATAAAAGATGGGGAAAAGGAAAGAGACATCAGTCGGTACTGCTGTTTGATATCCCAGTGCTGACAAAGGCAAATCAAGACTTTGGTTTGACTATTAAAACAATGACTCTCCTTTAGCGTTGCGTTGTCTTCAACATAACACATCTGCACAGCCTTTTTTTACATTTTTTTTTAACACCTTTAATCCAACGTTGTTAACATCCATGTTTACTAGCTGGTGGTCTTCCTATTTCCCTGCTCCATTTGGCATAATCTAGTGTCCTGCCTCCAACTGTGCACCAGTGGAAAAGTGTGAAATCGTTGGCAGGAGGATGCTGTGGCCAAAATAAAACCTCATGAATAAATTAAGAGCTTCTCAATTTCTGGATTTTTCAGCTGAATCAATTGTTGCACTGACTAAAACTAGATCCAATCAGCCACAACTTTAGAGCTAACAGCTAACGGGTTCCTCCAGGGTTCATTCACTCTAACAGAATGGGACCTTAATCTTCTGAATCTCATTTTTTCCAGTGTTGGTATCATTTGCTGGTACTTGGAAAAATGTTGTACAAGTTCAAATAAATAATCAAATAAATTCAACATTAGTATTTTCTGTTTTATAATATATGACGTGTGTCATTCTGCACAAAATACATTTGACTTTTCTCTTCTTCCAGGAATGCTTGCGCTATTTCTAGAGGTGTAGGACTGTGGAAAAATTACCCTATAGTGAGTAAAAAGTGACAGGAGCAAATAGAAAGTGGAGTTCAGAGGGTTGTAATGACTGCAGATTAGTGGCCCATGAGACTGGTAGACTAGTCTCACAGACAAAGTGAAACTATAATGGCAGTTGTCACCTGCTCCATACTTCACTTATTCTTCTCTAACACCCGATAAAACCCGATGCCCACCTGATGACATGCAGTGAGGGGAAGAACGGCTTCTGATCCCTCAGCCAGCCAACGAAAGCTCTGGTTCTCTGCGACTCAGCGGTGTCCAGTTCTGGGAGCATGTACTGTGAAGAGAACAGCAGGCAAGTTTTTAATCATCACGTGGGAAAAAGCAAAGTGTGAGTGTCGCTGTGCTATATGCGAGTTCACAGATGTGACCCTTTAGAACATAGATACAGGTTTAAGGAAGTGATAGGGGAGGTGTAAACAATAATACGCAGGTGGAAACTGTGCAACATGACGTTTCCTACCAGGTTATCAGGCACGGCAGCGTAGCTTGGAACTCCCAGGACTTGTGTGAGGAAGTTGGGATGGCAGTTCCTTCCGATCCACAGATACATCACCTGTTGGGGCAGAGTAAGTCTTACATTGAATACAATTAGAACTGCACTTATGTTTTAATCCAAAGCTGTGCAACATGACTACAAGAAATGTCAAGTTTATTCACTCTTGTCCAGCATGTTGCAGAAAGATCCATCATAGCGAGTCAGGTTTCATCACTATGATATCCATTAGTACACATTTATCTATCATTTAGGAAACAGGGTCAGACGGTGCCTTTCATAGCCCAAACTGTGCAACACTTGGTCCCTCTGTCTCTGAACAAAAAATCTCTCTTTCTAGCTACCATTCTTAGTGCCACTCTTTAAACCTACTTACCCACAGCTATAGACAGAAGCTGTATCTTAAGATTTATCACAGGTGCCAAAAGTAATTAAGGAAAATGTAGTGAATTGTTGAAGGAAACAGTCTGAGGCTACATCCACAAGAATGTTTTCATTTGAAAACGCATGCTATCTGCCATGTGTCTGCATATATTTTCAGACGTACGGTTCCAGCGTCCATGAGGAAAGCTCCCTCCCTGCCGAGCTTCTCCACAGACAGCTGCAGCACTCTGGGCTGTGGGATGGTCCGTTCGTTGATGTTCAAAGCTCCCTGAGAAAACAGAAAAGACAAGAAGTGATTATTCAGTAACACAGGGATACTTAGAAACCTGGAAAATAAAATAATTACTATTTAGGTTCAGCACACTGACCCAAAAAAAACTCACCTAGATTGAAACGTAAATGTAACTAAAACACAGATTTAAACAGAAAGTGATTCAACTTTACTTGCAAAACAATGTTCTCGACTTATCAGAGCATTACGGAAAATTTAATTTTCGATTTTCCTCCAGTTGTATAATCTTAATCATTTACAAAACACTAAAAAAATGGTAGATAACATGAAGGAGATCTGTTCCACTAGCTGAACTAGGAGCAGACACTGAGGTTAAACTTCCGCCTCCTCACCTCGTCGGTCAGATCATCGACACGGTACAGAGCAGGATGGATCATCAGCATGGCGTAGGCCAGCGGCTGGTACTTCAGCTGACACATGGCGAACACTCGTTCATCCAGCCTGGTGCTGGTGCCCGTCCTGAAGGCTTTCTGCAAACACAAACACATGAAACTGGATCAGTGACGTTTCCATGATGCGGTTGCCAACACTAGATCCTGGAAGCAGAAACAGTTTTTGAAGAGTTGGAAAAAAGCTGAATAGTTACAGCTGCAGTCCTTAAACATTAAAATAATCGTCAGGTACAGTTTTGGTAATATTTCAAACAACTATTTTTTGGTTTCCTCCCTCTTCTATGATAATAAAGTGAAAACATTGGGGCTGTGGGGAAAAAAAATAGGAATTTGAGGATCACAACTTGGGTTTTGTGAAACACTGACCAAGATTTTTCACCATGTACTGACATTTCATAGATCAAATAACTTTTTGCATAGAAAAAATAATCAACAGCGAGAATAACTGTCAGTTGCAGCCCTATGAATAAGGGTAGTGTGTTCTGTGTCCATTAAAATAGTAAATCAACCAACTAATCAAAAAGAAGATGTGTTAGATTGATCCTTAATAATAACAAATGTACCTATGTACATTTGTTATTATTAACAAAGACAAAACAGAACTCTATAGTAGAACAAACAACTGGCTGACAGTGTAGTTCAGGTGCGATGACTGTATATTGTTAAAATAGACGACCTGTTTGAGCAGAGCGAGGATGAAGAGCGGGAAGAGTCTGAGGCAGGCTGGAGCCAGCAGGCCGGGCTGCTGGATGGTAAGCACAGACTGCCGATAAGATGTCAGCGAGTCGATGGCAGCATTGGTCATCGCATCTCTGGCATCACTCAAACTGGCCGTCACTGAACGGTCCACAGCTGGAGAGAGCAACACATCATCAGATGTCAGGAGAAGGTGTGTGGTGTGAAGGATGTGTGGAATAACACTAGAATAGAACTAGCAACATAACTGGTAGAAAAACACAGTGAACATGTCAATTTCCAAAGGAATTGCTTCTTCTAACAAAAAATTATACGAGAGTATTTGGAAAGATGCTAAAACCACACGCAAAGTTTGACTTAAGAAAGACAAGATTTAGGAGGAAACATGTCAATGGTGCCTGACTTCTGTAATTCAAAGTATTTTAAATGAGGGTGATGCTGAAAGGAGATCACAGGCTAATAACTGATTTGTGAATAAACCTACAGGTTTACTTCAAGTGAAAAAATGGGTCAAATAAGTCCATGTTATTTTGGGCACAAGACACAATATACAGAAAAACAATAACCAAACAAGCATTATATAAAACCATGTTGTTAAGTTTTTAAGTTGGTTTTGATGCCATTATTAAGTGAAGTGTGCAGATAAGTTAGCAAAATAATTAGGTTAAATATTTTACGACATTTTACCATGAGTAGTGCTTTAATTAAAAAAAAAAAGAAGAAGAAAACTCATAGAAAAAAACTGAGAAAGAAAGTTCTTTGATTAAAAGCTGTACATTTCCTATCGGTCAGGGGCAGTGTAAGTGTAATGCATCTTAAAGATTGTCAGTATTGTGCACATTACAGCTGCGAGTTTATTGGCGGTGAGTTTCAGCAAGGCATCATGATTCACACCTTAGGAAGAGTGTCAAAACAGCTCTCCTCCAGCTGACATTCATCATGAGATCAAAATGAAAAAAAAAAAGTCTTGTTACGTATTTTTAAGAAAGCAAAAATATCAGTGCCTGTTCTTGAAGTTAATGTCAGATGAACCAGGACAGACCCGACTGCTCAGTATGCAGTGGTTGCTAAGCAACCACAGCTGTCGCCACTCATCACCATCTGTCGGTGCTAATAACAGAGAAGTGGATGAAAACCCTGAAAAGATTTTGCATCAAGCCAATTAAAGGACTATTTACTGTGACAATGAGGAATATTTTCAGAGTGATGCTTCATACAAATTCACATTTTACCAATATCATACACAACACCAACTCTCACACAGAATATTCATCTGCTCTGATACAATCAATTATCTTGAAAATAGTCACTGGCCTTAAGGTAAAACTTATGGAATAGAATTATTACTGTTTATCAGAATCCTGTAGAAAGCTACATAAATTAACCAAATAAAACAAACAGTGAGTTTTCCATATGAACAAAAAATCTAAAACTTTGTGTTGAGTGAAATTGGAAAGGAATAAGGGTACATGTGGTACTGAGTGTTCAAACACTTAATAAAAACAAACTGTCTGATGTGACACTGAATTGTTATGGACAACATAAAAATGAATTCTCCTCTGAGCAAAAACACGTCCCCCTATCTTACAATTGAAGAATCAAAGCATTTAATGTTGTGAGCTGATTATGTACCTAATACACTGTACAGTCCCAGTGACGTGTCCTTCTGAAACAGTCTCACCAAACATGTTTCCTTCACAGTGTTTCTTAGAGCAGTACGTACCCATACAAGCCAACAGTCCAGTGATGGCTTGAACATCAGCCCCAGAAAAGACATCTGACAGAGAATTGACCACAGGGAGACACAAAGTGTGCACACGAATCCTCCTCTCTCCTGGAAAAGAAAATGCACCAATTGAAACAAAAAAAAAAAAAGGCAGAGATGCGGTATTTCTAATCTTATCTACCATGTGTGTGTTTGTACCTTTGCTGGAGGTGTAGAGAAGAGCAGCCTGGAAAGAGACGACCTGCATGTCGTCCAGGTTTTCCTCGATGGACATTTGAACTGCAAAGCCAGCGTCTGGGTTGACATTGGGGAGGGACAACAGATCTGTGGAGCGGACAAAGAAGTTTCCGTGGAACGTGTGGATGGACAGACCTGCAAGGAGACAGACGGAGACAAGAAATCAATCAAATGGGACAGCGTTAAATTGTCAGAATCAACTGCAAAAAAGCTGCCAAACAACAACAAAACTTTATTGTCTTGAATTCTAGAGACATTATGGTTCTTTACACTTACTCAGAGTTTAGACTTTGATGCCAAATATTCGTCATGAACATTTAAATGAATTCACAGGCTGTAAAGACTCAACTGTTTATTGGTAGTGCATAAAAGTGAGTAGAACAACACTTTGTGTGCTAAAAACTGATGGAGCTGATTTGGACAGAAAATCTCTATTGGAAAATTCTGCTTTGTTTCAACACTGATGGCTGTATTTCCCATCAATGTGGCTATAGTGGCTCTGTGGGACACACAAACCTCACACTCTGAACCTTAGCAGTAGAGATTCAGGGAAACATTACCTACAATCAAATGGAATATCTTTTAAATTAAAAACATTTTCAGTTTATCTCAGGTGCCAGACTCTGGTTTTATTTAGGAGCAAGACAACAAATAATTGAACCCTAATTGTTCATATTGAAATAGTGCTTTACAAATCAAGATGAATATAGCAAATAAAAAGACAAGAAAGAGAACAGCATTTACAAATGAGAACCTGACAAAAAAACAGACATTTGGGAATGTATATTAATGCATATTCAACAGCCAGCCAACTGCAGGTTTTTTTTTTTGTGCCAACAGACCTTTGGTGCAGCGTATCCTCATGACAGCCTCAAAGCCAATCTTCCTGGTTAAATATCTCTTCAGATCCTTCTGGAAGCGCTCCACCTGAGCTGGGTTGTGCTGGTGGTGGTAGGAGGGGTAGTAGTAAACGCTCCCTGCCGAGTATCTGGATATGCAACCTTGGAGACAGAAGGTAATCGAGAAGTATATATAAAACACAGATAAAAGTTCTCTGTTTACATCTGCTATTACAAGGAAAAGTCTGAGGCTTCCTGGTTGTGTCTTCAGCTTTTCCTTGTTTCCAATGACATATTGCATTATGAAAGTTTTTACCTTAAGCACATGGTGCTTTAAAACCCAAAAATAAGTTGCCATTTTGAGCAACAGATTAAACTAGTTGATTTTCAATGTGTTGCTTTCCCAAGAGGTTTGTCCAAATCAGTTGGGAACGTAAGCCCAAAGAAGTAAAGCTATCCTACAATAAATACAAATCACAGTATTCTATAAACTCAACTTGTATATTCAGTGTGTTTTGGTAATTTTAGCACTGAGAGGAAATAACATTACAAGTTGAACATTATGATTTGTATTTATATTTACTGAAGTCGTATAGCAAGCACAGTACACTTTCCAAGTAAACCTGAAATGAGTCAAAAATATTCTGGGCTAAGCACTAAACATGTAAACAAACACAAAAGGTTGAATAAACCATTCATTCCCTCTAGGTTCCCTCTCCGGTCCATTCATCCCAGACTCACCGAGCGATGCCAAGTCACAGTATTGAGCGCTGAGCAGGAACAGGTCAACGGCCACCTGCTGGCCTGAGCAGTCCAGAGCCAGCTTCTTGTAGAAGTCTGTTGCTGGAGATAAGTGCTGGATGTCCTGAGAGGAAAACACAACAGGTAGAACCATGGGCACAAAATGTAAATATAAAGCAACTATGAGGTAGAGGTGAAATAAGAAGTTTGAAATAAGTCAAATGATCATCATGTATGAGTGATGGTTCATGATTACTTCTTGAAGTATTACAGCAGCTCATCATCCTGTCTTGAGGCATTACATCTTAAAATTTTATTTTATTTTATTTTTTGAAGAAGTCTGTGTTCTCTACTCTTTTTTATAGCAGTTTTTCTGTCATGGTATTGGATTTATAGTTGTCTTTAACAAAAAATATCTCTAGTGACATCTGGCTATACAGGCACTGCAGGATATGCAGCTCTTTAATCCTCCTGTATGATGCTGAACACACCACTCATTATTGTCCCTGATAAACCTCATCACCCCAGGTCTTACCTTGGCAGATGCCCGCTGGTTGGGGTCCTCTCTGGACTGCAGCGCCCCCACACCGAGGTTGGGCAGCTGGGTCTGAAAGACAGACATGCGTCCTCCAGTGGGCGACAACAGCTTGAAGGCTGCCTGCAGAGCTGAACCCAGGGCAGACTGGGTCTCCATCGTCTTCTCAAATAAACTTGGCAGGCTCTTCAACAGATCCTGCACTAGCTGAGAAACAAATATGAGGCGTGAGTCTTATCACTAAGCAGTGTAGGCAGTGTTTAGAAAGCATGTAACATTGAAAATATGCAGTTGTAATCAGTGCTACTTCCTAAATGGTGTCAAGAAACAGAAAACACAGCTAAAATTAAGTTTAAAATCCAGAAATATATGGGATTGTTGAATTTCTTACCTCTTTGCATTCATTGAGGTTTACTAGAAGGCTGTCTGGTGTTGGTAAAAAGATATCTGTGGAGCACAACATTTTGTTATTTCAATGACTATAACAGTCATATACACTGCTGATACAACAGTAATGATCTGAAGTTTTAGTGCCGTCTGTGCCTTTGTGCATGTTGTTCTGACTGCAGGAACCCCCCCTTGTAGAACCTCTTTAAGTCTTGTTTTTAGGGGAATACAAAGTTCAGGTTCAGGTACCAGGTTCAGCTTCACCGTCACCACCTTTTAAAAAAAATATTTATTGAGTAAATCTCTGAGGCCCCTGTTTTCTTCTTCTTTTCTTTTTTTTCCTGAGCACTGGACCTGGGCTGACCGGACATGTTGAGGGCACTGAACTTTAAATCAAATGACAACATCAAAGTTTGATCAGTGGCCAAACCATTTTTGTGTTGGGGTGAGGGGGTTCTTGACCCCTATTTCAAGGACAATTAGGAAGAAAACTAATGAAAAGCTTTTATGCAACTCAAATATTATATATATTTTTTCCCCCCACAAATAGGTCTATTTTGAAAAATTTTGAATAATTGTTTCATAATTTAATGAGGGCCCAGTTCTGCTGCCCCCCCCTCCCGTTCAGCCTGTTGACAGATAGTGATGTGTTTGCATGCAGTGCGCAGCAGCCTCTGCAGTTTTCCTAATCGCCTTTTTAGCTATACCAACCTGAGAAGGATGCTGAGCAGGAGAGACAGGCACAAAGTAGATCAACACACACAGCCAACTACACCCAAAGCTTTTTAGAGCCACAGAATTATTATGACAAAAACTCACACAAAAGCCCTCGGAGGGAAACTGGATGAGTGAAATTTCGAGTGCAGTATAGTACGTTTTAAATATTTAAGGTTACATTCCATCAGAAACTTGGGGACTGCAGTGGAAATGCTAGTGCCACCATAAAAAATTGGAAATTGATAAAGAGCTGTACAATTTTAGTATTGCTACTCACTAGCACATTTCTGGTATCATGACACCCCTGGTAGGTGCTTTTGAGTGGCCCTGAAAAATTGCTGAGCGAAGCTTGCTGCTGATTATTTAAACTCTGACAAAAAGTGCCTTTTTCCCCCCCTGTCCATGTCATGTTGTAGCAGCAGTCTTCTCCTCTCAAATACCACCATCAACAGCATCGTATTTTTTTTTCTTTATGCAAAACAGTGGTGCAGCAACCATCTCGATTCATTACTCAATTTTGTATGTGATTATAGGAGTGGAGTTACGTCCAATAACTACAATTTGTTTCTGGTTTGGTGTGCATAGAATAAGCATTGTGATCAAAGTTGTTGGATCCTTCACAACAATGGAAACAGAACAGCTGTAAGGTCGGACTTGAGGACTGTCTGCATTAATGTGCCTGGAATAGATTAATTATTCAATGAATCAGAAAAGTGAGAAATTTGGGGCTAAATGTTTGAGAAGTTTTTGCAAAGTTTCACATAAAGTAGAAGTGAACACTTCTTAAAAGCAAGACAGCAGGAAATTTGTAACAACACGTCTTGGACAGCGACCCAGACAGTTTGTGACCTTATGCATTTATTGGCTCTAAACTCCCGTAGTAAGTCTGCAGACAGCTGATGTCAACAAGCTGTAATAATTAGAGTGTGGCCTTTGCTGTTGGCTGCATCTCACCTTCAATGTCAGACACGATGAGCATCTGAGGCTGAGAAAGTCCCTCCTGGAGGTTGTAGAAGTGGATGGTGCTGTCGAAGGTGATGAAGCCCACCTTTGTCCTTGAGTCTCCACGAAGCCTGGAACACACATATATACAGACATATACACAATTTAGAAAAGCTTAAACTCAGGTGACAGAGATGACATACTTTCATCCATATTTACGAAGCCCTATTTTAAGCTCCTTGCACTAAGACGGCATGCTATGTTGGATTATGTTTTTTCTTCATATTTTGGCATTAATTTAATACTATCCAGTATCTGAAATATATAGAGCGGCCAACTGCTAAGTAAACACAGGGAAAAATTGACTTTGACTTATTAATACATCTTGGTGTACCTACATAGTAAGTCCGAATCATTTAAACTGGGTGTGTGTGTAACAGCCCTCCATATATAGTTTATAAGTACATGAAGAAATTGAAAAAAAAAAGGCAATTTTGTCTGAAGAAATGCAATAATTTAAAATTTAATGTTGTACATACGCATTGATGTTTTCCAGCAGTGATTCACAGAAGACATTCAGGTAGCCCGTCTCCACTGCATTGTGGGATACGTCCAGAACGAAGAGGTAAACGGCCGGCTGTGGTGGCCTCAGCTGGACAAAATCAGGGCAAACACAGGTTACTCATTGCAAGCTCAACAAAACAACACAACTACGATCACATTAAAAGCCCAAAAACACTTGCAATGGCTCAGTGAAGCTCCGTAAACCTACCATGTATTCTGAAGGTGCAATGAACTCAATGGTGGCGTTCTGGACCTCAGGTCGTTTGTGTGGCTCTCCGTATGATCTGCTGACTGGGTTGTACATAAACTCTTCTGGAACTGCATACACAGAAACATAACATCAAGTGAGGTTGAAGTATTACACACTTTTTTTATCCTTGAAGAAAAAAACAAGATCGGAGGATAAAATGCATCCCTTTATGCACCATTATACTATTATTCTCCAGTCGTTGTTATAAAATCATCCTCTAACCAAGTCTTTTTCCTTTATCTAACTGTGTAAAGTGTCTTTGAGAATGTAATGTCTTCAGAGATCTGGCCAAGACAGCAGCATGAGGACATTGTCACAACAATAAAAATGCTGAAGACATAAGTTTGCAATACAAAAATATTGCTTTGCCATTTTCTCCACTTGTAACTTTGTAGAATACATTTTGTTGTGGCGCTGTATTAGTTTGGACTCATATCAAGTGCCTCCAGTGTTCTCCACACAGTAGCTCTGTCAGATCCTCCTTTCTCTGTCACCACTTTCCTCTTTCTTACCGTCGTTGACCCGATAGCACAGGTTGCACTTCCACCTTCTCTGGTCCAGGAAAGACACAAAGGGGTTGATGTAGGTTCTGCAGGACCGACACCTGACAATGGTGCTGGATGTCACCACAGGAAGTTGCTGCAATAATAAAACCACAGAACAAATGCAACCTCTGTGAGACAGGTACCTCCAGGCAAACTCATTTTCTTCTTTGCAGCTCATTGTGAGCGGCATTTCAATAAAGACTTTCTTGTTGCTGTTCAAGTTGTGCAACGTCTCTGCTGTTTGTGTCCTCACTTAACATGGCAACGTAAATTAATTCGCTGTGACAGTTTTGCCTAGAGGTGTATTTAGTCAAATCCTATTTTGAAAAACAGTGATAAAACGAATCTGTTTAATCAGTACTAATTGAGTGTAGCTAGCGTATCTAAATCTAGGATATAAATGAAAGTTCTAATGCTGAAATGTCTGCTGCCATGACCTTAATTCACATGAATGCAATAAAATTAATACAGATTCACAGCCATAGAGTTTTAAAAGTGAAGTAGGGGAGACCAGCTCATCTGAAAATGGTTCTGGAGTGCATTGTTTAAAAAGTATGACTGACTACCTTGGGTTAAAGGCTTATACTATTAACTTTTCTATATTTTAAAAAAATAAATAAATTTAAGGATTTGGTTTACAGAAATACCTGTTAAACGCCATTCACAATGTTTACATAAGAACAACAAACCAGAGGAATTACAGGTTAATTCCAGAAAGGCAGTTCAACAAATTGTTAACCTGACAAATCTTGAGACAGAGGAGTAAAAGTATTTCACGATGTGCTGGAAGTGAAAACCTTCAGCTCATCTTGCGTGTTATGAATGTTTGACAAAATCACCCAACATATTTATTCAGTTGTAACCTGATAGGGACAAAACCACAACTAAAGTTCAAAAATGCAGGTCAAATGATAAAATTTGAGTCTATTTTTAGAGCTGTAACCTTGAAGTCTGACCCACTAATACAGATATTCTGGATTTGCAGTTCAAAGTGTCCAGGATACATGTGTTACTATTCAAATGTCTACTTTACAATTAACCCTTTCAACACTACTATAAAGGTCTGCTGCTTTCACCCCGTCAACCCATCAGCCCGGTATAGCAGCTCTGGTATATGGTGACTTTCTGTTACATTCATTTTGATTGGCTATCAGTGGGAATCCCCGTATGTGAACATGCAATCAGTCATTAAATACATTTTTCAAATAGTAATAATAATAATAACATGCTGCGTTTCCTTTTATGCACTCACACTGCTGTCACAGAAATACTTTTCCAGTCTGACATCTTTCTCATTCACATTCTAAAACTAGTAAAAAAAAAGAGTCTGGTTAAGCATCTTGAAACTAGCTTAGTAACCCTGCCTTTATGTTTACACAAGATCTAATAAATAAGCTTACTATAAACAATCATTTTTAACAAACCAAGTCTGAGCATTAAATGTGAAATTGAGGTGTTACCGAGAGGTCTTTGAAGGGGTGGAGCAGCAGGCCTAGCGGCATCTTGGCCTTGTTGAGCAGAGACTGAGTCTGAGGGATGCTGGTCAGTGTGGAACGGAAAACCCTGGAGACGCACAAACAGGAACAAATTCAATGCACGCACAGATGAAAACTTATCCACAGAAAACTATTTTTCCCACCAAGCATTTACACTGTATTATAAAGCAAGACTTTGGAAGTATTTTAGTACATTTCCTTTATAAATTGTAGTTTGAAACAATAAAAGACTAAAAACATGTCAGTCACAAAAACAAAACTGTTAATAGATAATAGCATAATCAAATCAAAGTCACAGTCGCTAGAAACATCAGGTGTATTAGTCCACCATGACTTACTCCGGGTGGCAGTTTATCTTCTGCAGGTCTTGGGGAAGGCAGGGTGTTGGGGCTGGGATCGGGGTGGGCGGCAGCAGGTTCCTCTCCTGCAGCAGGTTGACCACTCTCAGGGCCTCGGGGGTGCTGGACTGGAGGCTCATGGCTGCCAATGACGGGCTCAGCTGGGCCGGGCCTGGGCCACCAGGTGGCTGAGAGAAAGGAAACGACAAGCTATTCAGTTGTGCATATACCAAAAACTATTGACAGCTAATTAATTCAGTGTGGATGATGACTTGCACTCGCAATTACAGCTTTAAATATCTGTTATTATTTACTGCCTCCAAGTCTGACCACTTTAAACACCTCAAGTATTGTATTTCCAGAAAATCCTTTTACAGACTTACTTTTTTAAAATATAGTTTTTCATATTATTACAGAACAAACACAAGTGTCAGAGAAGCATACAACTTATAAAGTCTCAGACCTGTATACAGGCCAGCTGACAGCCTTCCCTGGGCCAAGATGATATTAGATTCCTCCCTCGCTCCACTCACCCACATCTCCCCTTTGCTTTGCTCTTCCTCTCCTGTTCCTCTCCTCACCTGCTCCTCACCTTACCTCCTCTTATTCTCCTCTATTCTGCTTTCTTTACATCTCTTTCATCCATCCTGCTCAGACTGTCCGACTGGGCAGCAAGCCCCTCCCGCTACACTTTGACGCTCGGTCTCTCTCTCATCCGTGGTCTGACTCTGTCCCTCTGTTGTGGACCAGCTGGCCCCTTCCTCCTCATCTCTGTTACCTGACGGCAGGTGGATCTCTCGCCTCGGCCTCTCTGTCTCATCCTCTCTGACGGAGCCACTAAACTCGTCCATTTCTGTCAAAACAACCTGTGTTTTGTCAGGATTTTTATCATAGTTAATGGATATTAAGAGCTAGCCAGATAACGTTACAAGACTGACAAACGCTGGCTCCGCTGTTTCTTACCTCGCTCTACGCTGACTTTACTAGTTCCAGCTTCGTGTCACCACCTTTTTTTAAAATATTCTTTAAGCAAATCTCTAAGGCCTCTATTTTCTTCCTCTCGTTTTCTCTTCCTTTTCCTTTTCTGAGCACCAGATTTCTGCTGAGCGGACATTTTGGTGCTGAAGTGCAAAATCTGAACTTCCAATAAAAGGACATCAGATGTTGATCAGAGGCCAAACCATTTAATGTTGGAGGTGGGGGTGGAGGGCAACTCCAAAGATATTAAGGACAGTTCAGACGAAAACAAATTAAAACTTCTAACTCAAATATTGCACTGTATCTTTCCATTAATAGCCCTTCTTTGGGGAAAAAAAATCCATAATTCAATGAGGGTCCAGTTCTGGGCACCCCCGCCACTCTGGGCCCGGGACAACAGACCCGTTTGTCCCCCCCTATCAGCGGGCGTGCCTGTATAGATGTTTTCATACTGCCATTGCGACGGGTTTAATGGGCAGTCTATTTTTAACATTTTCATTAAATGCTGAATTGTCAGAACTTCAGTCTTTCCTCATCATACAGTTGAAACCAGAAGTTTACATATTCTACACAAAAAGACATACTTATTTTTTTTACTCATTGTCCGACATTAAATCTGACTAAACTTTTCCTGTTTTAGGTCAGTTAGGATTAC